TATTAAATATAACATAATAGTACATTTTTTATTATGAAAGTAACAAACATTCAAAACTTATTTCGACATTAAACTTGTTCGTTCCCGATGTGACTGTCACAGGCAGCAGCCATAGCTAACGTTATATATCATTCGTGATGCGAAGAGTGTCCGATTCTGAGGTGAGGTTATCAAATCTGTTTATCACATGGTCTGTTGACGCAGTAGATGTATAACTAACATCAGTGAAATTTGAAAATACAGAAGATGATCTTTGACTGCTGTTATTCGGTGCATACTTTTCTCTGTAATCCTTGATACCGATTTCGCTCAAAAGGCTTGGGATCCGGCACTGAGCTAATAAGGCATTTTCTACTGAAAAAGTTTTAAGTTGCGATGCAACACTCTTCCCAAACACGTCAAGAGGGTTTTCTTCGGCAGCATTGACTTGGTCATGTAAGCTTTTCACATCAGAAACCGCTTTAACAATATCCCTACTCCTCTTCCCTGCACGTGAACTATTTCCAATGCTGCTAGTAGAAGCTGATGTAGCTAAATTTATGGCTTTGGTTTATGTTACATCAGCTGTAGTAACTGCTTCCGTGTAGCGGGATTGTAAGGTCACGGAGGGGTCATTTTCTTGTGCAATGGTATATTCAGTGCTGGTTCCATTAATCTGAAAATAACCGAATCCTGTATTGTTTCAGGTACCACAGAACTATCAAGAATGGCAAAAGATAGAAGCAGGCTTCAGAACTTGATTCAAGCACCTCCGAACTGTGGAAGTGAATTTTTCAATTATAAGGGCACGAACAGTGTTGTGCTTATGGCTGTTGTTGACCATGACTACTGTTTCCGTTATGTTAATATCGGAGCAAATGGAAGAAACTCGGACAGTGGAATTTTCAGAAATAGCGCATTATACAGCGACCTTGAAAACAATATGCTACCAACAGGTGGTTTTTTTAGTTGGTGATGTTGCTTTTGCACTGAAGAGATATTTATTGAAACCATACAGTGGCACAAACCTCACAAGAGTACAAAAAATATTTAACTATCGATTATCCAGATCACGTTAGAATAGTCGAAAATGCATTTGGCATCCTAACAAGCAGATTTAGAATATTTCAAAAACCTATACCAACTGACGTCAACACAACCAATAACATTATTCGAGCCTCATGTGCTCTGCATAATTGGTTGCGCCTAACAAGTCCCAGTTGTTACTTTCCAAAGGATTGCGTGGACGTAGAAGATATTGACTCTGGAACAATTGTTGAAGGGACTTGGGGACGAGAACTCATAGCCACCTTGCCATCTATCACCGATCACACTACCAATAATTCACCACGAATAGCAAGAAATCTCAGAGACAAGTATGCCGAATACTTTAGTGGAGCAGGTGCTGTTGTATGGCAAGATAGAATGATTTCATAGTTGTAACCAAACCAAATAAACTACTTACATTTTCATATGTCTTTCTTTTCATATCGTGAATAACACCTCTTCCATTTCCTTCAGCCACTTGATGTTTGAAGTATACACATTACTGAGCCCAGCCCCTGATCTCTTTGAAACATTAATTTTGTTCAGTTCTTGATTGTACGTGGATTTCAAATGTTTAATCTTATTTTTGACTTCTTGCACTCCAAAGCCATCAATATCCATTTCTTCAACTCTTGCGGCAATTGCAGCATCCCGTTTCTGTTTATTTTTGTAGTCCGTTGACTGGAAATTCCATAAGCAAAAATGGGATTTATATTGTTGGATAAATTTGATTGTGGTATCACAGTCCCATTCTTAGCCATATTTTATTGAAAGATGAAACAATCAGACCATAAAACTAGACGCAGTTTCGTAGATGGCTAGTGATATAGCACACTGAGTGCCTGTTCAAACCTGTCGAGCACATGTCGAGCGATATACCGAGTAGGTAGGGGAGGTGGCACTCGGTCTAGTAAGTAGAAAAGGGTCCAAGTGACGGTCTCGCTCTCCTACTGGGCCCAAAGCTCGGCCGAGCGCTCGATTACCTGTTTATAATAACCGAGTACTAGGCCGAGACCACTGTCTCGCCACTGTACTCGTTACATGTAATCAAGGCATAACAGCTTGCTGTTCCTACTTTGGCAGCGGTCGATTCTGGTAAAGGATGGCACTTTGTCCTACCTTATTTCGATAGACCTTATACTGCGAATAGAGAAGGCTTGCTCTGCTTTCGTTTGTTGTCCACCAAAACCAACCCTACACTATGCTGGAGAGTTGCCAAATAGCACGAAACAGCTGTCCATGGTTGACCATCTGTGGTCGAACGAACGGAAGATATACAAGGTGCTTCACAACTTATCCGACAAATTTTAACCACATATGCACTGTTACGAAAGAAGTTGATTTCTCAAAAAAAAAATTAATAAAAGCCCTAGAGAAATCGAGATGATAAAATAATACAGTTGAATAGTTTACTTACTTATAAAAGCTGTTCAAAATTGTTTCCATTGACTGCAATCTAAGCTTGGGCGCGTCTAGTCCAATTTCGGCACAATAATCCAAATACACCTTCTTCCTGCCGTGCCTGAAGGCTCAAATTATCGGCAGCCACTGTGATTCCGTCACGCAATTCTCCAATATTCTAAACTGTACTACGGTATACCTAGCTTTTCAAGTATCCCCAAAAAAAGAAGTCCAGAGGATTTAGATCGGGAAACCGTGGAAACCATGCAATCAGAAGAAATTCCAAATACCACACGTTTAAAGAAAAACGATGTTGGAAGTGTGTCTGGACCATTCCGTGAGGATTCGCAGAGGACCTAACGTATGTATTATGAAGATTGATTATCCCATTACGAGTAAAAATAGCTTCATCGGTGGCCAGAATATCAGCTGTAAGACGGGCATTTCGGGCATTTTCTTGCAAACACTCGGAAAATCTTAATCTTAGAGGGTAGTCTGAAGGTAGCAATGCCTGGACTCTCTGGAAGTGATAAGCCTACAGTTGGGTCTCAACTTCTTCGGCAACCCGACCCCCATCCACTCCACGTCTGGGGCGCAAATCTCCACTATCACGTGCACGTAAAACAATTGAACTAATTGTTTCATAATGTGGTATGTGCCTATTCGGAAATCGGTCTGCATACAAACGAGAAGCTGCTCGCGAATTTTGCCCTGCTTCTCTGCACGCTAAAACAATGTCCACTAACTCCCCATTAGTGTACACATGTGCCATTTTTATTAATAAATAACTAAAAACATAAACTCGTAAATACTTTTTTGATTGAGTTTCACAAAAATAGACCGTTCTTCATTCAGATCACCCACGATACAGATTAAACCTTATTTACACGTTCTTATCAGTATGAAAAAATAAAAAATGCCTGGTATGTTGTTTTCGTCAGTTGTCTGGTACAAGATTTGATACAATAAATTATTAATGTGTGTTCTTATATCGCGACGATGAACGCAAAATACAGATATTTATTTTTCAATTTGTTATTGAAACTCAGGTTTATAACTTAATTTCTGTAGGACTTTATTAGATTTTTTTCTTGAGAAATCAACCTCTATCGTAACAGCGCATATGTTGTTAAAATTTGTCGGACAAGCGGTGAGACATCTTGTATAACTAGTTTGTTTGTTCGATCCCGAGTAGGCTGTATCTACGAACCCCTTCCCACTTCAGTTGGCACTTCAAGATTTGTTCCAAAATATGTTTTTATAAACTAAACATGACGAAACTATTTAGTTCTAAAACAATTTATTTTCTCAAAAACATTTTAGATACACTCTAGTCGTAAAAAATTTTTGAAATCACTTAGACCTATAACTAATAGAACATCTGAACAAATAAACAATGTGCGAATAAATGCGCGAAGTTAACAAAGCAGCAATTGAAAGATTGATTACCATTGGGTAACATCACCTTTATTTTTTATTACGGCTGAAATTCTTTGGGGCATAGTGTTAACCAAGTTTTGGCAAAAATTTGGTGTAAAACAATCACCTATTTCTTGAAGCTTTTGTTTCAGTTCGGTGATTGTACGAGCAGGATGTTGTCGTAGAACCTTTTTCATCTCGTGCCACAAAGTTTCAATAGGTGACAGATCTGGACTGCTAGAAACCCATTTCAAAAGTGGTACATTATTTTCTTCCATCCATTTTAAAGCCTTTTTTGAGGTATGGTAGGCTTCACCATCCTGCTGAAACACAAAATCATGGCCGGGTGTCAAACATTCTTCCATCACTAGTAAAAGTGATTCTTCTAAAATTGCCAAATATTTGTTTGTATCCACATTTCCATCAATAAAATGAAGTTTTCCTACTCCTTTTGATGACATACTGCCCCAGACCATAATGGATGCTGGACATTTCACTTTGCTCTTCAGACAGTCAACATGGAATGCTTCATTTTTTTGCGAATAACTCTACTGCGACTGTCACCAACACAAACTTCGAATCGGGCCTCATCACTCCATTGTATTGCACACCATTGTTGAGGTGTCCATTGTCTATGTTCTTTAGCCCATCTAAGCTGATCTTTCTTTTGCAGTGGAGTTAATAGTGGCTTTTCTTTGGCCTATAAATAAGTTGTGCAACTTTAGGGTTTTTACTTCACTTTTTTTATAAGAAAACTTACCTTGCAAGTGCTAAATCCCAGTTTGTGAGCATCTCTATGAGTTGTGGACCTCGAAATTCTCCTTCCAACAGCCTAACTCCACAGACCACTTAATTGTAAATAATTAGCACGCCTGTTTTTCACGATTATTCTTCTTAATGCTCTTCGGCCGGCATTTGTGATATTACTTTTTTTCACATATTGTGGCTTATTATTAACTGAACCAGTTACGTTATATCTTCTAACAATATTTCTCACATTGTACCGCGATAAGTCTATCAAAGTTGCAATTTCTGAGTTTGATTTCCCAGAATTAAAAAATTTAATTATCAGTAACCGAATTTTCTCACTAATAACCTTTCTTCTACCCATTTTGACAACCTTAACTACCCAAAACTATTTTAAACGTATTCTGACAGCTGCGATTAATAAAAATAATTGTCATGGCTTTTATTTTTCACAGCCACCTATGCATTATAAACTTATTTTGCATTGAAATGAAAATAGGTTGATATGCTGTACTTGCAACATGTGTTATTTTTATGCTGCAAATTGGATTAGGGAGTGATAAAGTTGGTGTTTTCTACTATATATATTGATTGTTAATATTTTAAACCTATACCACCCTGCTACATTTTTATTATTTGTCTTTGATAAAAAGAAAACTAAGATTTCAATAGTTGGGCCAACTGAAGTGGGAAGGGGCTCGTACTATGGCTGCAGAATCGGCAGCATCTGGCGGCCGCGGTGGTTACTCGGCTGGGAATGCAAATTGGCGTACAGTTCCAGCTGACATCACCTTGAATTTTCAAGGCGACAAATAACCACAACCACGCGGCCCGATTATAGCCACTTGCTGTGGTACTTCAAGCCCAAAGGATCTACATAGAGAAAATTATCATGCGGAGAAAGGTATATAACAAAAATAGGAAAATAATGGGCAAAATCCGCAAAAAGTGGATTCGAGCAGAAAATAGGATAGGTAACCCGAGCGATACGTATTTCTGCTGGTTGGCTTCATCAGGCCCGAAATGAATGCACATATGCAACTACAAAAGTAGATACACATGCCCACACATCCGGATACATGTGTAACCTGAGGAAACGAAGATGGAGAGGAAAAAAAAGACACACGAAGTCCACAACAAGAGCCAACCTACACATTGTAGTATAAAATGGCTAGAAGACCTTGAATTTTCAAGGCGACAAATAACCACAACCACGCGGCCCGATTATAGCCACTTGCTGTGGTACTTCAAGCCCAAAGGATCTACATAGAGAAAATTATCATGCGGAGAAAGGTATATACTCGTAACAAAAATAGGAAAATAATGGGCAAAATCCGCAAAAAGTGGATTCGAGCAGAAAATCGGATAGGTAACCCGACCGATACGTATTTCTGCTGGTTGGCTTCATCAGGCCCGAAATGAATGCACATATGCAACTACAAAAGTAGATACACATGCCCACAAATTTTGTAGTTGCATATGTGCATTCATTTCGGGCCTGATGAAGCCAACCAGCAGAAATACGTATCGCTCGGGTTACCTATCCTATTTTCTGCTCGAATCCACTTTTTGCGGATTTTGCCCATTATTTTCCTATTTTTGTTACGAGTATATACCTTTCTCCGCATGATAATTTTCTCTATGTAGATCCTTTGGGCTTGAAGTACCACAGCAAGTGGCTATAACCGGCCGCGTGGTTGTGGTTATTTGTCGCCTTGAAAATTCAAGGTCTTCTAGCCATTTTTTATATATATATATATATATATGGCTCAGAGAGACAGCTCTAGGAATAATTTAAGTTTCGAACAAGTTCTTTTAGCTGCTAATTAGCTGAAGAAGTATCGTAAGGGGGAATATTTCATAGTATACTTTTGCAAAATTATTATTTAGACGGAATGTCGATATTTTGCTTCCTGATATATTATGAATGTTTTTTTTCTATGAACCAGTG